CGTCTAAGTAATAGGTGGTAATCCTAAGTGTGGAGATTAGCAGGCTAATCTCGTGTTGTAATGATCTTTTACTTTTGCTTGTTGAAGATTAGTGAAAGCGGTTTGAAAAATCCTGTTGAGAACATGTCGTGGTATTCCTCCCTTGAGCAAGGAGGTTTCCACGTAAAGTTGTTTGTTCAATATTTACTTTCAACACTTATTTTACTGTTCGTTATTACAACTTTGCTGAGGACCTGGTCCCATCGAAACAAGTGGACGCAACTTTTAGTTATTGTTCTTGCTGAGTCAAAGAACCTGGTCCTTGACTGATAAGTGGACGCATACATTCCAACACTATAACTGTAAACTAAATCATCATATATTTTTCCTTCTTCAATTTCGTGTTCTTCCGACATCATAATTTCCTAGTTTTATGCTCACAGTTTCTAAATTTCTATGCGAAGTTTACAAAAAAATCTAATATATATAGGAAAATCTTCTTGATTAATTTGGTAACTTATCACCAACTAACTAAATAACTAATAAAACAGACATGTTAATGTTGTAATTAAAAATTATAAATTAATTTGGTAACTTAACTAATAGTTTCTAAATTTGTTTGCAAAGTTACCAAAAAAATGCCAGTTCAATTATATAACAAATTAGTACTGGTAAGCCAAATGAATATAGGAAAAGGCTGTTGGTTAATTTGGTAGAGAATAACCTATGGAAGATTATGAAAAGTGTAGTTTGGAGCTCTCCAAAGTTCAGCGGAGTACAATACTGATATGCTCTGTTAAATGCATTTCCTATTTGTTTCTGATTCAACATAGCAAATGGAAAATTGAGAAAAATTGAAGGCTCTGCCTTTCCTACTTGTTTCCAATTCAATAAAACGTGCTCCCTACATATCAAGACTAATAATTTTTTCTCAAGATTGTGTTCCATTTTACTTTCAATTGATATTTTTGTTCCACCAACTTCTTTCGATTTATTTCTATGGCCGGAGTTTCCATTCTTCAATCACAACAAACAACACGTAAGTTATGGTCGATCTCGACTGTATCTGATGTAATAGAAGTCCCGATGGTCTTAACCTGGACTATATGTTAGATTGATATATTAATAAAACGGTTTTGGACTTAACATGCCTACAATTTTGACTGTCACACACCTTGTCCCAGTTCTCTTCGTCGATTCCTCCACGTTCAGAATAAGCTTACTAAGCGATCTCCAAGACAATATTAAGGTAAAACTCTTCATTGTGAGGGATGAATGGCTCAACAATGAAGATTGTGATGGGACCTTTGCATCCGCCCATCTCCACCTGTCAATTAATGTGATGAAAACAAACATGAAAAAATGATCCAAGACAAGGGCATGCTTATAGGTTAATAGTTCATGTAAAACAAATCACAATACACTTGGTGTTTGGCAATTTCATCAAAACTTGAGCAAGATCAAGATTAAAGGCGACTAGTCCACGCTTGCCAAACAACATATCAGGCTTTACAACCAACTCAAGGATCTTTCTCTGCTAGCTCATTGATATGAACTTTAACTTTTGGATGTGCATAAATAGACACTTCAACAAATAGACACATTCATCCTAGTACTAATGCACACTCCAAGTTAAAAGCTTATGATTGTCAGTTGAAGCTAACTTAAAAATTATGTGTACGTATTATGCCTTTATGAATTATATTTATAATCATTGTTGATCCTTGGTAATCTTAATATCCTTACACCTAAGGAATAAAATCATGATCAATATTGAATTTATAATGCCCAGGTAATATAAAGGTTGTCATTTTACGTTAATAGTATATATGTTTAATAACCATATGATGTATCCTTACTTGACGAATCTAATGTGATGTCCTTGTAATTCCTCAACTCTAAGATCAGAATCATTTTCTCATTCTATTCATTTTTAACCAAACTAAGCCATTATATAAAAAAATTTACCAAAGTAATACATTTTTCTAAAATTTTACAAAACTAGTACAAACGTATTTTACGGTAACGTTTTAGGGTATATATTTTTTTAAAAAAAAACTAACAGCATTAGGTTGATATACGTTACTGTAAGTAACATTTTACTCCTAAAACGTTACTATGAGTAATGTTTTAGGAGTAAAACGTTACTACTGTGAGTAACGTATATCAATCTGACGCTATCAAATTTTAAAAAATAAAATATATCCTAAAACGTTACTATGGAATACGTTTATACTAGTTTTGTAAAATTTTAGAAAAATATATTATTTTGGTGAATGACTTTATATAATGACTTAGTTTGGTTAAAACCTCTTCTATTCAACCTTTAATTTTTCCATATTTGTTGCTTGTTGACCAAGGAAAATTGATGAAGGAAATTAAAGCATCAAATTAGTTAAAGTGAGTACTGTTGTACGTACAAAAATTATAAAAGCAAATTAAAGATATGCAAGAGCAAAATTTTCTACTTACTCTTTGCCTTATAAATATTCTGAGTTGCTGCTTCAACAACTAGAATGAAAAAGGCGCAAAACTAATGATTAGTTTTGTAAGATAAATCACTGCTTGGATGTTTCCTAAACGTTATCTTGAAATTTCATTTCCATATGATTAATTTGACTTGTTCTTTTGTTAAAATTTAAAGTAGATACTTGACCTTTTCTTTAATAAGTGTTTTTTTATACGCGTATCTTATATTCCATCATTTCCTTTTTATTTGTCCAATTTTTTCGTTTTATTTGTCATTTTTTGCAAATTAAGAAATGACAATTTTTGTTTTTAGATACTATACCTTCAATTTATTAACATGAAGTAGGCATTTGTCCATGCTATACCATATCATCATCGTTTGAACATGAACTCTTAAGCTGATTTCATATTCTTCAAAAATAACGATAGATTAAAAAAAGGACCGAGGGAGTAGTCCTAGAGTTCATAAAAAATATTGAAGTCAATTTTACACGCCTATATATTATAATAACAAAGTTTTCACTCTCCATAATTCATTTCCATTGCACAAGCCCGATACATACACTGCAGACGAGCACTGATCACGCAAATTGATGGGAGCTAAACTCACAGTTATTGAAAACAGGTGCAACCATGATAATGAAATCAGATTTTGGGTTTCTCCGGCTCGACCTGACAAATTTCTAAGCATAATTAGAATTGAAGGTGAAGGTGGATGGAAGGAAGTAAATTCCAAAAATTTCATCCATGCAGACGCTACAATTCTTGATGATAATGATGATGATGATGGTATCGAATTTGTATCGTCTACCTTGCTAATGATTTATATCGATGGTGTTTATACAGGATATTACTTTCATCCAATTCAGTTAGTGAAATACGCGAAAGCCATCTGCGACATTAATGAAGATGGACTTTTTGTTGTTCAAGGAATCAAACCAACATTCAATTTCTGCAGATTCAAGTAATTTTGTTACAACTTCATACGTTACACTTGTATTCAGTAAAATTTTGATTGATTTATTTATGGAACATTATTTATTTTTTACAGGGGTTGTGCCTATTTCCCTTATCTTAGAGGGGAAAAAAAGGAGATGATTTGAACTTGCAATATTCAAGTTTGTTATTTTGACTTGATGGAATGCACAAATTCAAAAGTATGAAGTTTTGATGATAGACAAAGATATTCAAGAATCAAGTTCAACAGTGTAAGGAAGTCATGAAGTCATGTATTTTCTTTATGATATAATTGATATTGTTCTAGGGTTTATTATTGAATTATAACAAATCCTAAAAATTGAAGTCTTTAATTGAAGCCATGAGGTTTGTAACAAGAGGAAAAGATTGATCTTCTTGGAGACTTTCCTTTAGATTATCCTTTGTAATTTGATACAGCTCTTGAATTTAATGAAATTTGATTGCTAAAATCCTACACCATATAGGTCGTGATTCTTATTCCCTCGAGCAAGAAGTTTTTCACGAAAAATATTGTGTTCGGTTCAGCATATAGAAATCTAATTCCTCTCACAAGTAGTTGGCACTTTATCTGTCATGAATTGTTTAATTCCTTTTCTTCGTACATAAAAATTTCACTTATTAGCATGAAATTTTAATAAATATTCCTTTGTATACGCCTAAAGATATACATTAAATATATTTCTTTATTCTATAGCCAAATAAAATAAAATCAACATTCACATATAGTAAACATAAAAAAAATATTTTGTGTTATAGCTATAGTTTACATAATTGTATTTCATAACAAACATATATATGTATATAACACTATACAGATACAAAACAAAGCAGTTATATAATATGTTTCTGTTTCGATATACATATACAAAAGATCAATCGTATAATCCGTGTCTGTATAAAGCGAGAAAGAGAGAAAAACAAAAGAAAACTTGGCAGGGGATAAAGATCATATTTGTATAATCATAAATGTATATATAGGACAAAAATATATATATTTATATATATAATATTCTTTTACTTTATACAAATACAATCGAAATGTATACATTGCATTTTCTATAAAGTTAAAGAGGCAAGCAAGATCTAAAAAAAATGGGGAGAAAAATATGGGAGAAGAGAGAGCGTACAATTTGAATTAAGAAAAAATTACATAATTAATACATTTTAAAAATAATTACTGATTTTAGCGATAATTTTTCTTTTTTTATCATTTATAGTAATATTGTGATAAATCTCTAATATGTATTAAAAGTAAATTATGTATGCAATATATTTGAATTATAATTGTTTTTGAAATATATTATATTTATTTGATAAAAAATTGTCACACAGTATTATAAGTGTATTAAAATATGTGATAAATGTATTATCTATCATTAAAACTTGTATTATATTTGAATAATAAATTTATCTTTATAAGATATATTAAACCTGTATTATAAATAAATTAAAAGTGATTAAATAAAAATAATATTATTATTTATAAATAATAAATATTTTATTATTATAATATGTTTATATAAGTTTCTATTGAATTAATATTTTGCTGGTACATTTTTCTTAAAAGAAAAAAGTGAATTGCCCCGATAACTACAATCTCCAAAAGAGAGAAGCAAAAGGACGCGTTCTTCTTTTTTTCCCCTTTATTCAGTAAAAGTGCGTTTATTGCTTCTTTTCGGTAACCTGCAAGGGGTTCTTTGAGTAGTGAATACTCTTTGTCTTTACAAACCCTGCAAATTCTATTCCGGCAAGTTTCAGGTTCCTCCGGATCGCTCCGACGCCTTTGATGTTCACATCTTCTGGTAGTCCTGTCGCAGATGACTTTCGCCCTTCTAAGGAACCACACTTTCTGTAAATCTAATTAATTTGAATTCAATGTGGCAGGACGAGAGTCATCTGTGACAGGATAATGGAAGATCTAGTTATCAAAGGCTTATTCGGGCGTTTTTTTCTCATGTCCAGTTCGTAGCAAAATCTCCAACTTTTGCAGAGTAGCACAGGTAGACATTTCATCACCATTATTCTATTAGATATTGAATTGAGTATTATTTGCTTCCTCTTTTGAGCGTATGCTATAGAATTTGATGTTATGTTAACACAAGTTACTATTTCTGTGTGTGTGTGGTGTTGAACTGTAAAAACTAGGCTTTTTATTTAAGCAATATTGAGAAGATGTGGTATGTGGAGATGTGTTGGACGAGAAAATGGAAACATATAGCAGTGTTCAACTTTTTTGCAGGCCTAGATGTGTTGAAGTTTCAGCAGTTTTGTGGTTTGTCAACAGTCTTTGTTTTATTAAAGATGTACTATTCTTTGCATTTGAGGTATGTGCTAACAATTTTGGGCCTTGTTATGTATGTTTGAATCTCTGAGTGTGTGCGTGTTTGTGCATATATACCTACACAGAAAAATTTGACTACTTACTCTGCAGTTTTAGGTGGGTGGATTTAAGATAGTAAAATACATGGACGAATTGGTGTTATAATTGCCTCATATTTCCATAGAATTTGTTAGAAGAATATTATGGTATCCTGACAGTCGTCTTGTAAATTAATTTTTTTTTATATAGGTTTTGTTAGGACAATTGCACACAGTTATTAGGCATCTCCTAAGAAAAAATTGTTATGATTCCTACTGGGTCAATTGATGATTAGCATAGATCTTTGATATTTGTCATTTACCAATTTAGAAGGATATCAGTTGAGACAATTCAATTAGCAAGGGGAAAATAAATTGATTGATGAAGAGGCTTCTTATTTTAATGTTTGTTCAAGTATTATGGACACTTTGGCACTCTTGTAGGATGCCAAATTCACTCACTGCTTCACTGTGATCTATGTTTACCATGGATAACGAAATTATCAGATGTATAGAATCTTTATCTCCAAAAAGAAGAGGAGGTTATAAAATCAAAATATCTTACCTTCCATCCGGATCCAGCTTGCGCTCCTCACGGGTAACTCTATCCACTAATCTTATAGCTCATGGTTCTCAACCTACTTCAATCCTTAAGCCATATCCTTGGGTACCCTTCCATACCCTTGGGTACCCTTCCGTACCCTTTTTCACGAGCCAATGCATCCTATCCAGCTGCTGCTAGCAACGCATGTCATTTTGGCCGAGTGTGAAGTTAATTTTTCATCATTTGGTATTCAAAATTTAGGGAGAGCTTGACAGTTCTCTTCTGTACTATTTTCATTTCACCAAGGGTATGCTAGCTTCTCTCTTTAAGTCCAGTTTTTTCTTCCTTTGTGGTGTGATTTATTATATTCTACTTGTTTTTGCTGGCCAGTAAAGCCTCGAGTCATAATGCTTGCTGTGAGTCCATCAGATTGACTTTGGAAATCCATAAATCCCAATCCTTTATCATATCTTATACCCTAAACCCTACAATAATTCTACTATGATGACAAGTTGACAACTAAGTATAATTTTTACTTTATACTAGAATGTTAGGTTATTAGAAGTTACATTTTGAATATTAGCAACTGTTATGATATTTGTCTTCTTATCATCAATGGATAGTCTTTACTAGGTGCAACAAGATAGATACGGAACACTGATTTCTTTGGGTAGGGGAATGTAAAGTCAGCATTGAAAAAGAGTAACAAAATAAGATCCATCCCTCATATTAAGCAAATAACCATACAAGTCATTTTATAATCCTTATGATCTATTATAATGAAGCTCCGAAATTGTTAGAATATTACAAAGGAATTTGTGGCTCGAGATCCAACCCTTAACACCAAAATAGATTTACATAAATAGCATTGAAAGACTTAGAAGTTGGATATTTAATTAATATAGTAGCTAAGGGTATGCAATTGGGATTAGAAGCCTTAAGTAATCTTCAAAGTACATAAAGTAAAGTTGTGAAGCAAAATCATCAGTTGCTTGTTTTCATGTACTTTCAACGTATGAACAAATTTAACAGGAAACAAGAAAACAAGAACTAATGACTGCTAATACAATAATTCCTCTACCAAAATGCAATGTAGGGCCTCGCAACCTTCCCATATCCAATGGCCTTCTTGTAAACTGGTTTGCGCATCATGCCACATTCTGCTTGAGACTGTTGCTTTACTCCATACTTGTTTGTCTGCTGTTCTCTCTCTATAGGAGCAGAATCCTTAATTCCTCTATCTCTACTTGTCGATTTCCCTTCACCTTTGCTTCTACTGGACTTCTTTATTTCAGTCTGAATCACCTTCGACTTCTTCTGTTTCCTGAATTTACTCTCAAAAGCATTGGCATCACTTTCACCCAATTCATTACCTAAATAGTCTTGTTCCCTTGATTTTCTTTTCTTTACAGAAACTTCCCTCCCGTTGTGTGCTTTTAAATCAATTGAAGTACCTTTAGAACCACGATTTTGAAAGTTACTTTGGATGAGAGATTGGTAGAGGGCATGTAGAGCACTTGTGGTATCGTCCTCACTAATGTCACAACAGTTCATGCCAGGAAGCCAGTCTAACATGGTGCAGACCCAACTCTGAGAAAGTTGATTGGGTTTTGTACCATAGGGGAGAAGCCTCCGCTTCCGACATGTAGAACATTGAATCCAATCTTCTTGTATAATGAATGGAGCAAGTGGTGACTCTTTCCCTGAAGTGGTCAGTTCCGGGCAGTGTGTCTTAACAGAAGTTGTGTGTGAATCACTACACTTCGGGGCAGCAGTATTACTAGAACGAAGCTTAATCCTAATCCTAATGGGTTGGTGAGAAGAAATAGGGGTAGGGGAAGGGAGTTTTTGAGATATCTGTGGTTGAACTACAAGTTGATCAATCGACAAAAACGAACCATAAACACCAAATTTTGGCCCCAATTTCTCAGCAGAAACAGTTCCTTCAAAATCTTTGGTATAATTGCCCAAAACAGTTTGAAGCTTAGCATCAATGTTTATATGAGAATCGTCATATATTTCTCCTTCTTCAATATCGTGTTCTTCTGCCATCGTAGTTTCCTAGTCCTATGCTCACAGTTCCTAAATTTCTTCGCGAAGTTCACAATAACATCTAATCTATATATAAGAAAAACCTCCTGATTAATTTTGGTAACTTATTACTGACTAACTTATAAAATAGAGACAGTTTCTAATTTTTTTTGCAAAATTACCAATTAGGATTAGTAGTCCTAAGCCGAATCAATTCAGGAAAAACCTCCCTATTAATGTAATAACTTATTAACCACAAACTAAATAGCTAATAAAATAGACACGTTAATTTTGTAATTAAAAGTTAATTTGGTAACTTATTACCAACTAACTAAATAACTAATTCATTGGGCATCATATTAAAATAAAATAGACACGTTAATTTTGTATGAAAACCGTTGAATTCATTTTTTCTTCTGCTTTCTTAAACTGTATAATTGTACTTTTGAGTTATTTTAATTAACCGATTGTCTTTTTATTAATTCAATTAGTTAAATATACATTATTTTATTATTTCAATTTATATGAAGGTGTTCGGCTAAACACATCAATTTATATTAAAAAAATAAGACTATTTAGCTAAATCATCTTACAAATGACTATGTTAGTAAGGATCTTTTTAAAAATATTATAAGCCATAAATTTAAGGGATAATTGCATAGAATGACAAATTAATAATGTAAAATAAATATAGTAATTATCGTTTGATTTATTTATGCTACATGTCAAAATATTTTTTTTATACCATATAAATATAAACTACACAGATAAATAAAATTAAATTCATAATTTAAAAATTCAAATTTAAATTATTAATAACTCTCGATTTTGCTCAACCTGAAACTATGCCAGCTCTGCTCACTGCAACTCATGCTCTGTTAATTAACTAGTGAATTTGATCGCACTACGTGTGATTTTAAATTTAACATAAATATACTATGTAGTTAGTCAAAAAGAACACATCATAGACGGTAAATATACAAGCGGAAAAGCATTATACTTATAATAAGCAAACGAATAATAAATAAAGAAATACAAAACATAAAAAATAAAGAAGCTATAAAATATGTACATTTAGGAGGAACGGAAATACTAATAAAATCTTGTTTCAGAGAAGGAATAAATACACCCATTGAAATATATTTAGCAGATGATAGAATAAAACATCCTATAGAAAAAAGTATAATAAGTGCAGTTAAAGGAAATTTAATATACCAAAAATTTAAATTTATAACAAGTGCTAATTATACAGTAGCATTAACAGATACAAATATAGATAAATCATTAGTATTATATTGGAAAATGTCAGGAATAGAGTTAGCACCAGGAAGTAAGGTATTCACAGCAAGATGTAAAAATCTATATATATTAACAACAAAACATAAAATAACAGCAAGAAATAAAATTGATAAAATAAAAATAGAAAATCCTTTTGAAAAAATAATTACTGTAATAGACAATAATGACTATAGCTATAAAGAAATTGATATAGAAGAAGATTTAGAAATTGTAAAAGAAAGATTAAGCACTTCAAGCGTACCAAATACATTAAGAAGAGCTTCCTCATCAAGAATGAGTTCATCTAAAAGAAAATATGAAATATCACAAGATTTAGAAGAAATGACAATATATCATTATTTTATAACAGGAATAATGGACCACAGAAAATATAAAATCTTGATAAACATAGGACAAGAAGAAAATCATATAACAAGAGAACTAGTATTAGAAGAAGAAATTATGAAAACAGGACACATATGCCCTGAATTACCTAGTGAAATAGTAAATACAAATGAAGAAACAACAGAAAAAGAAATAATTATAGGAGGAATTCAATTAAAAATACAATTTAAGATATATGAAGGAAATCATAATATCACATTAGGAATAAAATGGTTAGAAAAGGTTAAACCATACAGCATAGAAAATGAACAATTAACAATAACTTGTCAAAATAAGAAAATAATTATAAAAAGAATCAAATGATTAATGAAAATATTTGTACTTGTAAAAATTATTGTAGAAGGATATCACAACAGATATTATACACCTATGATAGATACAGGA